GTGTCAATACTCAAATAATAAGATGTAAGCAGTGATTTTCAGGTAGCCAGACAGTGAAAGCTAGCTAAAGAAGAAGACCTAGGGAATAAGGCGAAAATTCAGAATGTATGCATTAAGAAGCCAGACGGAGAAGTAACGACATACAAGAATGAGAATCATCCAAGTAGTGGAGAGACTTTTACAGTTTGATCTAGGTAGCAACTCCAGACGAACAGCCACAAATAGATAAGCATGAACGCGGTACATTTAGGGACAGTGATTACGTACCTTAATATCAGAAAGAAGAAATAAAGAGCATCTTAAAGGCATGAGGAGAGGGAAAACACAGGCGAAGACGGAATTAGTTATGATGACCTCATATTAAGATGCAGGGAGACATTTGCAGACAGTGAAACTAGCCAGTCTTATTTACAATGACACTTCTCAGCGAAAAACTCCGAAAGCGCTGGATAAAATGCAAACAGATTACTTGTTTACACAAAAAAGGCGATAAAAAGGATTTTAAAAAAATGGTAACCCGGACGCGGCATAAGCCTTCCTTTCGGGTACTTACAACTGTTAGCGTGAAAGTCGATTACAGCTCGCAAATCTCTGTAAGTATTGGTATCCAGCAGCGTAGAGAAAGGCAGGGCTTTCCGCAGCGGATTCTCACACAGATCACATCACACGCTCACCAGCATGTAAGAGAAAAAGTGAAATGCGAATTATAGGAAAGCCCATGTGTATGGGCATTCATGCGATTATGAAAAGGGCCATTTGACTCGTACAAATACGCAGCAGATAATTAGGTGCTATTCAACAACAGGATGAAGATTGAAGGAGGGTATCTGTTGGTAATCTATTGGAAGATAGTAACCTTTCAAGGGATGGGACGCGAGATCCATCAACTCCACAGCAACTGAAAGCTGCGATAAGTAATGAGTTCCAATGTCAAAAGGACGTTAGACAGGGCGACACCACTCTCAGCAAAAAGCTTGTTTTACAGCCTGCCGGTCGAGGAAATATTGCAGAAACTGTAGATGGGATAAGGGGAAGGGTATTCATATAAATGGAAGACGAACAGCCTAAACATACCTGAAGATTTGCAGACGACAATTGTTCTCGACTTAGTGAAGTCAGCTGATTGAGCTGCAGGCAATTAATATATTTACGATCTGACTATCGGAGAAGGCCTAAAAGGTCGAAACATATAAGTCATGTAACAGCTGAAAAGGAACTTAAGCGTTGATGTGTTCAACTAGCAGAGTCCACTCAGAACGGATCAGTGTACACGTGCGAGGCGAAAGCAAACTAGAGGTTAGTAAGACGGGTAATATAGTGGAGGCCATGAGGTACAACTCGTTGCAGACAGGCACATCAAGTGAACAGGAAAATAGAAGCGACAGGAAATCAGTCTATGGTTTGGAGTGCTTTCGGCTAGGGACACGAGAAGATAGCACACTTAGAGAGCGTCTGCCGCATTCGTGCTTAAAGAAGAGAGAAAGTCTTTAATCGTGATGGCGTTGCTTCCGAGTTATGACCTATGGGTTCAGAAAGCATGGACTACAACCAGGTTACTAGGGAGAAGGAAACTAACTCAGCGCACAAGAAAAAGTGAAAATCGATGATGGGAATTAAGCCTGAGAGATCCGGAAGTAGGGAACGTGTGGATCAGAAGATACAGACGAAGGTAGAAGAGTATAACTTCAAGAAGCATTAAAAAAGAAAGAATGGCAATGGCGGGCAATGTATTAGGAGACAAGACGACAGAATGGACAAGAAAGTAACAAGACTGGATATAAATAGATATAAGGAGGCCAAGAGCCGTACCTATGAGACGATGGCGCGATCAGAAATTAAATCGTGCGAATTTGGGGTGCCAGACTGGAACACAACATCGCAAGAACCGGGAAACCTGGAAAAAGAATTGGAGTAGTGCCTACGTCCCTGGCAGTGAGATTGGTAGACTCAGGCTGATGGATGAATGATGATGATGTATATATAGTACTGATATAGTATAGTATATATATATATATATATATATAGTAACGTATAATAATATCATATATAAGAGTATGATAGCGTGTATATGATATATCATACATACATGGATATAGTCGGTGATAAATAAATTATAATATAT